TTCCTTGACATAGGACGTTTACTGGGACTCATTTTTTATCTTGTCTCTTATAACTTATATCACTAACCTAATGTAATACTTAAAAATACGCGTAAACTAAAGAACTTTTAACTTATACCACTAAACTAATAATATATTACTTAACATACGCGTAAACTAAATAATTTCAATGTTTTCAAAATAAATAAGAATACTGTAAACTGTAAAAACTAAGCAAGTTGATAAAGAAAATACAAGAATGAAAGAACTAAAATGGATTAATTCAAGCGAACTAACTGACCGTACCCATAGAAAATAAAAATAAGACCGTACCGTACGTTCATGAGATATGACGTCACTATCGATCAAGCTCAGCGACAATGATGAGGAACACGTTTCACTATTAGATTTCAGTATTTTTTAGCAATTTTCTTCAAAGTTTGAATACGCTTTCTCGATTATTACTGGACACAGAAAGGTGAAAAAAGAATCAACGATTACAGAAAAAAAACTCTTTCAACTGATGGGCGTGAAAAGTTTGGTTATAATAGAACGTTAAACAGTATAATCCAATTTTTCAACGGAAAATTCAAAAAAATAAAAAAAGTAAAACCATCAGTTTAAAGGCAACATAATTTCGTATAACATGTCCAAATTTCGAGACATTTCGTCGGTAAATAACAGAGAAAAAATTTTGGTGCACCGATAAAACAGCCTTAAAAAAAAAGTGTACCAGTTTTATATGACGGAAGTGTACATGTATAAATATATGTTTAAATAACGGGTGATCCATTTTTATAGATCTTTTGAGTCTATGGTATTTAATTATAATTTAGAGAATATTTTGATTCGGAGAGTCAATAATGTTACAGATTTAAGTATGGTTTTTCACAGAAATTTGTCTTTTAATTTGCAAGTAGATCTTATATGCATGTATCAAAAAGTTTGAGAGAGTTCAAAGATTTCTGAAATAGTGGTCTTTTAAACTGCCTAGACCATATTCTTATTCTTATTCTGGTATGATCAATTTATTGAATCTAGGATTTTTTTCTTACCAGAAGAGTTAACTTTGACTTTGATCATTATTTTTAAGATTATAATATTCTAATCTCCTGAATTGCTTTGGCCAATTTGTTTTACATATTCCTTCCTGTTCACTGATTTAGAATTCACTTTTTCGTGTTTCCCATCACAGAATAAATTATGGTTCAAATATAGGTGTGGTCCTAATTTTCATGCATGGTACTCGCAGTTACTTCATTAGATAGATTTGTTTAACTTAAGTATCAATATTTTAGGTTCTATTTGAAGCACTAAAATGCAAAAAGATACTTTGTATAAATAAGTGTGTACTTGTAATTTCTTTAATGCTGGATTCTTATTTAATTTTGACAGTAAGTTTGTCCTATTTGTTATCAATAAATAAAATTTACTAAAAAATACTGGATTTCTATGAGATAATCAACAAATTCAATCTATTATGTTACATTCTAGCATAATTTTGCAGTTTTCTTGTGATGATCTACAACCAGGAAGAACAAAACCAACTATATCAATACAGGTTAAACTAAAACACATTACTTTACTAATGTTCTTTTATTGCGATGAAAACAAAATGAAAATGCTTCTTAACAAGTATACACTAAATTTAAAAGATAGTTGTTGTTTTTTTTTATGATAATTAGATATAAATAACATACATTTATAAATTTATAAACACTTTAAAACTATATTTAGTATAAATATCATCTAGAAAAATATCACATTAAATACTATTCGCATATCACCAAGTTCAAAAGTTATTACAAACAACTTACGAGTCAGAAATCGATTTATATATTAGAGAAAAATAATATTTAGTGCATAATATAAATTTGGAATGTATGAAAAATTGATTAGTCTTCCAAAATATCCCCCCCCCCCCCGTTTATGTCTTGGTGAGGTTCATGAACACCTACACCATTTTGAATTTCTTCATTTAGTTTTTTAGCAAAAACTAAATCTATTTCATATATTTGAGCAAGAAAGTTTTGTTTTTAGTCAGCAGCCCAATGTACAAACAATTCTTTGAATAATTTCACCTAAAAAATAACTATGGTAAGACATTCATAATATAGACAATAAGACAATAAATCAATCATCCCATAAACAGTAAGATAAACAATATATAGATACCCTAAATGATGATGAGTATACTAAGAATATACTTAGTCTACTCATCATCAAACATACCAAGTATAATATCTTTAAATGAGAACAGTGAAATGTAAGTACATCATATTAAAAATGAAAAAATTTGTACACACAATTTGGTATGTTTCCAAAAACACGTAACACAAAGGCTGTTGTACTTATGTCTATAAATAGGAAAAATATTTAGATCAAACAAGAAGGATAGGTACCATTACAATCATGTCTCATGTAGCTCATAAATTTTAATTACAAAAACTATTTAGTAGTAACAATAATATACCCGATTATAAAAATGAAACCTATAAAATGTTTTAGATAATTTTGCTATATAATTGTGGCTAGCCCATATTTACTTACTTCAAATTGATTTGCTTCAAGAATTTATATAATAATGAACGACACATATTTTAGAAGATCTCAGTGATTGTAGTGGTCATTTTATTCTAGAAAAAGAATCTGTGTACTATCTGTCATATAGATATTTTAACTCTTTCATCGTATGTTGCAATAGACCGGCTATATTTTTAAGACATCTTACTGTTCCAGTCGGCTTATATTCTTTAATTGTTCGGTGAATAGTTGAATTCGCAACACCTATAATTAGCACAGTAGTTTAGTAAGCCTGGATTTTAACAATAACTATTCTGCAAAACTAACCTGCTGCGCGTTTTATTTTTGTTACCGTGGCTGTTATTTTCATTCCAGAATTATCAATTTTCATTATTTGTTTGTACTTGTTTATAATACATTGTTTATCATTTGATGATAAATGATCCAAATCTACTTGGCGTTTTTAAGGTGGAGAAGAATAATTACTACTAGTATTTGGCATTGAATCCATATTGTTATCTTAATAACACTAATTATGTCGCTAAATAGTTCTGAAAAGAACTGTTTTTTTATATAAATGCAAACGAAAAATCTAAAAATGTAACGAATAATGCAGAAAATATAAAAAATCGTCGAGATGAATTTTGAATTTTATATTTCATAAATGTCATTAGTGTCAATATGTCATAATTTAGTGGAGTAAACTTGCCTGCGGTTGGGCCAATTACAAACAAGGGTAAAGTGTGCAAATCGCGGTCACCTAAGAAGAAAATTTAATATAAAAAAAAGTAAAACTCTGTGAATCAAATTTAAGCCGTCAATCCGTAATTTGGGGTTTTAACTTATTGCAAGATACATTTAATTTCAAAAATATAAAATTTTTGTCTTTGACAGAGACAAAACATAAAAAAGTATCTTTGACCGGTATTGTCACCATACATGGACAATATCGGTCATGAGTGTGGGTAATGCCAGTCAATTTGTTTGTGTTATTATTAAAATAAAAATCAATATCTATTTAACATTTTTTTGTTATAAAACGATTAACGAATGTGGCTTAATGGGTCATAATTCAAGTAAATCAGTAAGAAAGGTGAAAAAATATTTTTTATTACAAAACAAACAAAAAATAACAAAAATATGTGTTTTAATGTAAAAATGGTTGACAGTCATCGCAGGTATAACTCTATGCAGAATCCCATCCACTGCACTCTGAATAAGCCCATCGTGAGCAAACGGTAAATATATACCACAATTCATTGTTTTTGCCAAACTCGCTGTAAACCAGGCATCTATCTTCGTATGCATCGTCACTGTTATCACATGATACCTATATCAATATCCGATTCCAAAGAACTAGAATCAAACACCTTTTTCTTGTAATGCCAATTACAAGAAAAAGGTGTTTTATTACAAGAAAAATTATCTTGTAAACCCAAATGCCAATTTTCTCAGTTCTATTGCTGTTACGCCATAAAAAATTAAGCTAAATATTTTTTTGTGTGGCTATTTTAGCTTCTTGTTCGGCAGAAAATACTGATTTTCTACCTAATGAGACACCTTGAAGATTTTTATTTTTTATTCTTTCTTGCAATGTCGAAAAATGGATGGATTAATCCCTAAGGATTAATAGTATAGGGTATAAATTATAGCATGGGGGTAATACCGGTCAACTGACCGGCATTGCCTCCTGTTGGCATTTTTTTTCTTAGAATTTTTTACTCGTAAACATGTATTAAAATATTGATCTTTAAAAAAGGAATAGGCAGCTAACGTCATTATAATCAATTGTAACCAATTTTAAGATTTACAAGTGAATAAAAATGAATTCAGACCGTATATTACTCAGCATAAAAATAAGATCGAAAACACTGAAAACAGGTTAATAATATTTCTATGACAATGGTTTGCGCCAACTCAACGCTCGTCAAAAATCTGAATACAGAGTAGTGTAGCGACACGTTGGCAGTTATAGGAGGTTGCCAGATTGAATAGATTTCGCACAATCGGATGACCGCCATTACCCACTGACCGGTATTTGCACAGTTTACGGCGCGTAAAATTTGAATTACTCCTCCTGGTTACAAAACAAACCGTCGATGAAGATGACAGTAATGAGGTAAAATTCAAGACGATAAACATTGAGATAGACTTTACCTAAAATTTAAAATTCTTTCAAAGAAATTAGGTTTTTTCTATTTTATGTTAATCATTAAAAATACAGATATTTATGTTGTTTTTGTAAATAAGTTTTTAATTAAGATAGTTGTAAACACAAACCCACATTTTCATACTAAATCGACTTGTAACTAATATTTTTAGTACTGAAATCGGTACTGAAATTAGTATAATAGCTAGCGGACCTTACGGTGATAACAAATTTGGCCGATATGAGCTCTTTAAACGTGACGTATATCCCCGCCTGTCAGCTGTTCAGAACGAATAGTAATAATACATTATAAAAAGTATTCTTAATAAATATAAATTATTTGTTTTAGAAACTGTGAAGGTGAAGAAAACAATGCAATAAGATGTGACAAAATTGTTTTTAAGAAAAAAAGTGAACTTACAGAAAGAAAGGCTATTTCCATGAATAACAACAAGGAGAATGAAGAATTGGAGACAAAAAAGAAGAACAATAACAATAGTTTAAAATATTTATGTTCAATATGTAAAAAATACTTTTCTAAGAGACAAGATTTGGATAATCATTATTTACGGATACATCCGCATGAAACAATTGAAGTACTTTCAAAAGTACATACTTGTACAATCTGTTCGTACAAAACTACAATATCATCTAACTTAAATCGTCATAAGTGCACTACTGGAATAGATACTAGAATAAGCTATTCCTGTGCCCATTGTAAATATGTTACTAAAGATAAAAGTGACTTAGTTACACATTTAAGAGTTCATAATAGTCAAAAACCTTTTGCTTGTTTGGAATGCAACAAACGGTTTAATCAAAAATATGCATTAGACAATCACATATTGAGAAAACATGATGATAATGTATTATTATTAAACACATTAACTACAAAAATTTGGTTGTGTTCTGTTTGTAATTTCAGAACTATAATTAAAACACATTACAACCATCATTTGTTAAACCACTCTCAAGAAACTCCTCACATTTGTTCCGAATGTAAAAAAGGATTTAAACGAGATGACCATTTACAATCACATATTTTGAGTCGTCATTCAAAAAACGAATCATTAATGAAAATGGTAACCCTAAAAATGTATACTTGTGAAATATGTAAATATAGAACTATAAAGAAAACTAATTTTAAAACACATTTAGAAACTCATTTAAAATAAAACAAAAATTTTTCATTTAGTTATATCACAATTATTGTAAAAGTGATAATCAAACAATTTAGTCCAGTCAATGAAGGTAAAATGAGATCAAATGAGTCTATATTCACTAAGTCATGCGTTACTAGGTGTGAGCTCGTCATATATCTCTCTGCCATTAAAGAAGACGGGGTGCGATAGTGGTCGGACGGTCGTGGTGATGGGGGAGGGGGGGGGTGATACTACTATTGGTGCATGTGGGTGTTAATGGAGTGGTCTTCAACACTGCATCATCTGGACTTCACATCGCTACAGGGTTGCGTAGACCTTCGTACAAATAACGAGGGACGACACACGCTCACACAGTCAGGAGAGGCGGGGAGGGGGGTGTGGGGGGGGGGGGGGGGGGGGGGGCGGGGCGGGAGTATACACTATCTACTATCTCTATATCTGGTCGCTATCTTGGTGGGGGATTGGGGGGGGGGGTGAAGGGATATCGAGGCAGGAGTGAGAGAGTGGGTGATGGTTGTATTTTGTGGTATATTTTTTAGTTTTTTATATGGTGGTTGTATTTATGCAGGGGGACAGACTTATAGGGATTATTAGAATGGCTGATAATGCACGTGCAAACAACAGTACAAAGGTATGATTCTATACAATAAGGAGTCTATATATCTGAGATAGGAGGGTTGATACTATGGCTTGATGTACGGATAGGGAGGTCTCTTTATGTGAGGAAGGACCGACGTTGTGACGGGACGATATATTAGGAGTTCGTGGGATCAGGAGCTTGCGACAACGAGAGATTACTTGAGATAGTTGGGGCGAAGATTATCTCTAATCTTTTTGGGAGCGTGTATGTATGTACGTTTGGTGTCTTTAGTAGGAGGTGGTTGGGTGTGGCACACTATGGTATAGAGAGGCGTATATGGATGCTGGGTGATAGAGGGAGGGAGGACTAGTGTATAGGTTAAGTGTTACTGTGTGGGAGATGGGTAACAGAGTGACATTTGCGGGTGAGTGGAGTGAATGTAGGTTGGGAAAGTCGCTATGCTGGGTTGTGACATGGAAGAGTGATGGGTCAGATGGGATGGTAGTTTTTGCAGGTTGGTAGTGTCACGAGTGTGAGTAGATCTATATGTGTTTTTACGTGTGGGTAGGAGGGAGAGGGGGTGATGTCTTGAGACATACGTGGACGTGTGGTTTTTAGGAGTGTTAGGTGGTTGGTTGTGGGTTGTTGTTGGTGGGGGGGGGGGTGGGGGGTTTGGGGGGGGGGGGGGGGGGGGGGGGGGGTGGGGGGGTGGTGGGGGGGGTGGGGGGGGGGGTGTGGGGGTGGGGGGTGGTGTGTTTGGTGGGGGTTGTGTGTGTAGGGGGGGGGGGGGGGTGTGTGGGTGGAGTTTGAGTATAAGTGGTATGATGGAGTGAGGACAGGGTTGGGGGGGGGTGGGGTGTGGGAATGGACAGAGGAGTATGTGTGGGTTACGGGTGCAGATGTATTTGTAGTTGAGAGACATTGGCAGTGTAGGCACACGCAGGTTGGGTGTATATCTATATATCTGGTGAGTGTGTAGGACAGAGGTGAGATCATGGCAAGGGTGGAAGGGTAATGGAGGGGTGTGGAGGGTAATGTTAAAAGGTCATGGGTTGGTGGTGAGAGGATGTAGAGGAAGGGGAGGGAGGGGAGGGGGGAGGGTGGGGGGGGGGGGGAGTTGAAGAAGATAGGGTGTGTTGGGGGGACGATATGTTAAGAATGTGTGAGTTTGTGGGTATATTATAGATGGACAGTCACATGAGACTTGAGTGTAGAGTCATGTGTGGTCAGTAGGAGAGTGGGAGTGGTTGGTAGGGTAGTATACATAGGAGGATAAGGAGGGTGTGGTGGTAATGACTTGATTTTATAGTTGGATAGGTGAGTCATGTGGATGTGTGGGACAGTAAGTGGAGAGATGGGTGGGAGGGACAGTGGGGAGTACGGTCGGTTGGGGATGGGACAGGCAGGTGGATTAGAGGGTATAGTCTAAGGGAGATATGTATGGTGTATAGGTGTGAGGTTGATGAGATCTTATCACACACGGGAGTGATGGGGTTGGGGGTATAGTTCATATTTTTTGGTGGTGTTGGTAGGGTGATGAAGTTGGTAGACAAGGGGGAGCACTATGTAGGACGTAGGGATTGGTGGGTGTGAGTCGGTGATCAACAGATATTACGTGGGTGTGAGATAGAGGTTGGAGTTTCATTAGTTTTTGTATTACGTACAGAGTTTGTGATTGTTATACAGACTAGGTATAATACGTGCTAACAGAGGGGGAGAAAGAACTAGGTGGAGTTGAGTGGTGTGGGACATCATAGAGTGTTGTGTAGATGACTACATTAAGAAGCATAACGAGGTACACGGTAATACTTATGGGGGTTACATGAGTAGTAGATGAGTAATAGTGTGTATATTTTGGTGTTAAACTGAGATGTAGACAGGAGATGGGGATATGGTGAGAGATGGTTGAGTTTTTGATGGCACTTCGAGGTGTAGTATAGAGGAAGGGGGGTTTTAGTTGGGGGTGGGGGGGGGGAGACATTGGGGGGGTGGGGGGGTTGAGTTATGTAAGTGAGATTGAATATGTGTTATGTTGAAAAGAAGGGGGTAGGAGTGGGGAGTAGAATGTTGAGGGTTTGTAATTTATGTGGGAGTAAGGGGTGAGAAAGGAAAGGTTGAAGGACTGGTATTATGATTATTGTTTTTGTTGTGTAGTTGGAGTGTGTTATTTTTTTTATGGTGGAAGTGTTTAGGAGGGTTAGTTGAGTGTAGAGTTGAATAGGGATTGTATATTTGTGAAGTAGGAAGGTGATGGGTGGTGGTTTAATGGGTGGTATTAATTTAGGATGGGTTTTAGATAAGTTAGTTGATGTGAATGTGTTGTGTATGGTTTTAAGTGTTTGGGGTTGTGAAATTTGTTTTAGTTATTTAGGGTTGTGGGAAAGTATTATGGGGATTTGTTTGGTTTTAGTATTTAATAATGTAGTATAGGATTTGTTGTTATTCGTAATGGTGAGGCTAAGATATTTACGTTGCTGGTTATCACTATTATTTAAAAATTCCGCTCTGCCCTCATTTAGGAGTTTTTTAAAATATTCGTCCCATTGATCCGGTGTGATTGATGATATTATATCTCTTTTCTTTTCCTGTTGTAGCGATTTTAATACTTTCCAACTTTCTGTACTTCTCCGTCCTCCTAAATGTGTGTTAATCATGTTACACTTTTGCTCCCAAGCCTCATTCTTCTTTTGGCATATCATTTTTCGCACTTTAGCTAGGGTCCTCTTGTATTCTACCTTATCAGCGTCGGTCCTTGTGTTCAGAAATTTTTTATACTTCTCTCTTTTATTTTTAATCTCTTGTTCTATTTCTTCGTCCCACCAATACGAAGTTTTTCTGTGCATCATCGTTTACTGCATATACTCAAATATTTGTAATCTTTTTTCCTTTGACAGTTAGATTCATTTTTATGAGCCTTTCGTTGATGGCTTTCCCAAGCAGTTATGAATCTATTTAGTTTCTTGCGTATAAGTATACCTACGCCTTGTTGGGCTCTTTTCTCCTTTGGTACCCCGCTGTAGAAGTAATCATATTCTCCGATATTTTCTGATCCTTGACCTTTTCGTTTTGTTTCGGTATTCACTGCGATGTCTATGTTCAGTCTATTTATTTCATGTATTACTTCATTTATTTTCTGTTTAAACCCTTGGACGTTCCAAGTTCCAATATTCATTATCCATTTCCGTAGCATGTGTCGTCGTGCTATAATCCATCGATTCCGAGGCGTTTAGCTAGGTTTTTTAACAGTTTGAATTTTTCCGAGTAACGGGGAGTTAACCCGATGCCTCAACCCCCGACCTGGAGGACCAGGGTTTGATTTTGGAGTATTCCTTCTCCTAGAGGATTTGCTTTCTCTACAGCTTTAGAGCATCCTCCGCCCTACCTGTTGGTTCGCGGGTAGTATTTTATTTCCTACCTATCCGCCAGCACTAGGCTGGTGAGGACATGCCCCTATCCGCCACCTTGGGGACGCGCTCTGTAGGGGTTATAGGTTCCCCCGAAAGATTCACCACTATTTGCCATTTGAAAAAAGCGACTTTTTTGTAAAAATGCAAAAGTACATTGATAATAGGTTGCCGGTCAAAAAGTGGCCGCAAATATTTTTAATTCAAGTTTCTAATAGTAATTAATTTTTGTTAAATTATTTTTCAAATATTTAAATTATAGTTTAAAAATTAATTACAACTACCAAAGCAACACAATAAAAATAAAGGTAGAAGAACTAACCGACCCTATTGAAGCTGGCAATGGGATAAGACAGGGAGATTCCCAGAGTTCTCTATTGTATAACCTGATTATGGATTTATATTCATTTCACCTGTGAGGATAGTCAAATTCTTATGCAAATTGATACAGACTCAGGAAATTATGCGGAAAATGGTCATTAACAGGAATATTTGTAAATATGTTCTGAATATAAAAGTGCCTTAGATATTTAAGACTTTATGTTATTAAAAACCTTTTGATTATTTATTTTTTAATGCAATCAATAGTTTAATAACAAATACGAATTGGACAATCGCATATTAAAAAAAAATTTTAACATATGAAGGGGTGAGTGGATGAAGGGAGTAAGTAACAAAAGTAAGTTTTTGAGAAATTTAACTCCAAAGTTTTATTGCTGGAACTTTTTTATTAATAGATTTTTTAAACCGTTTTTTTTTATTCTCACAGGTAGGATATGTATAAATTTTATTGTAAAAACAAAAATCTCCCAGATTTTTAAAAACTTATTTGAAAAATATATATTTGTACTTACCTCTTTTATCCAAAAACTTTTTTGTGTTAGAAATTATGTCTATGCCAAAATGAAGGGGGTATGTGGACTTACCTCCTTCATCTAGGATAAATATTTGCTTTTTCTTTTGAATAAGCGCTATAATCAGAAAAAAAATAACATGGATGTCAAGTAAACACTTATATTTTTGATTTT